TAACTGTTCATCTAGAAATAATTATGAAGAAAACTTGTGTAGAATAGTTGCAAATGAAATTAACATACAAGGATAAGTGTGGGCGCGTCTGTTAGATAATCAAAGGAGTTGTAGCAGAAACTGTTAGTAGAAATTCGCAAATACTAGCACAAGTTTACTGTGATCTCGTTAAACACTTATCGCCAAGTAGCGTAACCAATCGATGCTAGAAAACTTCCATTATATTTTCTAACAGGAAACATAATTACGGGTAGTGTAGAATTTTATTGGCGGGAAAATGCAGAAATTAAACATCGAGTAAATGTATTTCTACGTTTTAAAAAAATTATCTTATATTTAAATTTATATATATATATTAGACACTTAATATGTTTTGAGATTAAAATTTGTTTCATCATTTAATATTTTTTCCATTATGTAGATAATTAAAATTGCAGTTTTTATTGATAAATTTATAACATTTTTTTATTTTTAAATATTATATTCTTTTTAAAAGTTTATTTCTAGTGATGACAGCTATATATATGCCAGAAATAAACATTATGCAAAATACAAGAAATTTATTTTTCTTTAATGCTAATGTAAGTATAATCCTCCTTATTTTAGCTCATTTATACACTGAGAAAAAAAAAGTTGTTAACTTGACTAAATGCGTTCAACTGATTATCATTTTTTTAATTGAAATATTTAAGTACTTAAGTCAAATACGTCATGTTAGATTTAATATGTCATATTTAATTTAAATACTTAAATATTTCAATTAAAGAAATAATAATTAGTTAAACGCATTTAGTCAAGTTAACAACTTTTTTTTCTCAGTGTATAATATATATATATACGCAAACCGGTTAAATGTAATATTATTTTTTTCATACGTACACAACACTCAGGAAAATTATCGTACTTAACGCACGTTAACATTTAAAATAATGACAGTATAATACAAAATTTTTTAAATTTTGATATAAGTGATATGCGATATAAATAAGTGTTACGAATGTATGAAATATCCTTTGGGTATTAGGGCGAGATTGATATGTATTTGCGAATCTAGTGATATGTTACGATTATATCTGAGCGTGAAAGAATCGAGTTTTTCGCGTAATACAAATGGTCGAGTCGAGTATGCTTAAACAATGCTTGTTTTATCTTCTTTGCATAGTGTTACCTTCGCGTGACATACAAATAAGCACTCGGTGTGTTAATGTCATTCGCTCATGTATGAGCGAACTGACGTTTCATCTATTGCAACCGCAGTTGCAGATTAGTTTCACGGATGACCTTAGATGAGAAAACGCATCACGCATATACATATATTCCACGTATGTCGCGGAATTTATCTTCCATCTCCGTGTTTAGCTTCCATTTGTCAAGCGTATTATTCTTGATAATAAGTCTATACGTCAAATTGTCATGAGGATGACAAATAGGACGAGCGAAAGGAGAAAGTCACTTTCTTACAACAATATAATTTATGAATTGCTATTAATTTTTGCGCAGAATGTCTTTTTTAAATCTGCTGAAATATTCACGCATTTTTTTTCCCACGTATATTTATTTTTCTTTTGAATAGAGTACGATTACGTACACGCGCTTATTTTTACTCGAACATCACGACCAAAGTAATTCGTAGCATTCTAATGAAAACGACCGGACGTCATGCATATTAATTGATTTCACGTGAGCTTTTGCGAGTTAATACAAGTCATCATTAGAAGATTTAAATTTAGTTTATTTAGATTTAAAAACTAAGCGCGCAAACTAATAAAAAAATGGTAATGTAATACTGTTATATACAAGATATATTTTCAGAGAAAAAATTTTAAATATGCGAGTAAACAGAGGCATCAAATAGTTTGGGAACATCTCGATACTTTTACAATTTAATCACATTATGAAAGCTGAAGTTTCAGAAACGCTGATAATTATTATGAAGTTTTTTTTTTATTATGATGATGTGTGAAATGTACAAGTGCTATATTTTATGGAGAGTATCACGAGTTCTAGAGAAATGCAATAATAATTTTCATGTATATGTAAGAACTGGACTTTACACGTGAAAATTGTGTTTACATAGCTTTATTCATATATGATAGAATTGTTATTTTATTCTGTCTCTACAAGTGTGTTATATTTTTACAAATCTTATTACATCAGCATTATGTAAAATAGGAGTACAAAATATTCATATTTTTTTCATAAGAATGTTCAAATCTCTTTTAATATATTAAGAGATAATTTTATTTTCGCGAGTATCAAGCAAGTTTACTTTTAAATATTTAAATATTACATGTAATTTCTATCTTCTATTCTGAAATGAAATCTAATTATTTTACATTACAGTCATAAATCGGACATATTAATTTGCACGATCCGCCCAAGGGCTTTTCAGGTTCGCCGAAATTCGGGCGCGGACTTGAACCGGAACTTACTTGTCACCTCTCGTCACGGATCACCCCTTCCGCCTCTCGACGTAACTTCGCGGGCTAAAGTTAGCACGTGCATAGAGCCAGCGGCGTGTCGTTCAATGCACGACGACGGATTTGTTTGTCGCACGTATCTATCGGCTTTGTGCGGCCGTTCACTGTCGCGTGATAAATCCGTAGCCCCGTGACGCTCTCGCACGGTGCGGGGGGAAAAACTCTCCGGCTTTTTTCTCGCACCTTTTCCCACCGCCTGTCCTCGATCATGCCCGCCGCATTTGCTTCCGTCCCAGCATGATGACGTCTTCGATAATTAACTCTCAATATGTGCGTAGAACGCGATTGATGTCACTCGCGACGGAAGGATCGCGTGCATCCGGGAATACTTACGACATCGCAATACCATTGAGCAACGATAGCTGTCTTCTACAGTATCGTGTTATGTTTGATCTTAGAGATATCGGTATCGATATCTGAAGGAAAGTTCTATAGAAATTTCGATATCTCGACGCTGGCAATTTTTTGCCAATATTGCACATCGATTATTGACTTGATATTATTAAAATACGTTATATGCAAAAGAATGGCAATTTATCCCTCTTTTAAAGCAAGATAGCACAATATGGCTGTATATTTTATCGAAGATAATTGTTAAAAATAATTCTGAAACTCTCTCTTCTCTCGATCGGAAAACGGCGCCGCTATAATCATAAAAAGATTCTTTTTTTTTAATACCAAACATATTATTGATACTTTTTTCCGATACTAATATCAATTCTAAGGACTAATCATATACATCCCGATACTATATTAGGCAGATATAATGCTTGCGTACCAATTAACGAGTTTGCCACGGTGCAAATCGACGCGAAATTGAAGCTATTATTCGCGCAACAAACGCTTTCACGCCTGCCTTTGTCACGACTTCGAGAATTACACGCGGTCTTTCATCAGAATCTGCCGCTGATGTGCGTTTCACGAGAAACGACGTGTTTTCTCTGTTGAACACGTCAATCGCGCGACGGCCATTCAACGGAAATCTATGCGGATCCAGTATACGAATTAATGACTCCCACGTGTCTCTGTTTTTCCTCACGTGTCACTCGGCGGGTATCGCGAACAGGCCACTCGCGTCGATAGACAGTTGCTTTTTCATTGCGAACGATATTCCCCAAGCGCATCCGTCCTCAATCCGTCTCAACAAAATGTTTATCGTCATTTATTTCCAAGTAAAATTTACCGGAATTTTAATTCGAGAGAAACAAGCTAATTATACTGCGACATTTAACTTCGAAGAAACATCGCGGCAAATGATAACGCCCAGTGAAATCTTTATCAACGAAAGATCTGAATAGATCGAGAAGATCGGAGTTGATCGGAAACGCGAAGAACCTAAAACATCCTGTATACGATTATATGATAACACAATGGGGTGTTCTTACCCTATCTTCTTCCAACAAAAAGCTCATTTTACGGAAGGATCTGATTTTTCGCGATGTATAAATATTTATACGACGGTTTCACTAGAAACAACATGCAGAAATACGCGAGCGTTCACCCACGCATCCAATTTCGAGACGTTAATGAACGCTTAAGGAGTAATCGACCTCGTAGATTAAATTAGAATGGAGATTCTCTCATCCAAGATAGATATGCATCTCTGACATTTCTCGGCTTTCTTATTTCATTGAGACATGTGACATTATTTGGAAAATCATAGATGTATTTACACGGTAATCAATTTGTTGATATCATGTTAAAGTGATGTAAATGCTGTTACAATATTATAAAAAGTGCATTGGTTCTCAAATTATTATGTATTTGTTGGATATACATTGAATATAATTAATAATATAAGAGAATTTAATTCATATCCACACACACGTTACGCTAATAATTTCACGTTTTATAAACAATTTTCTCAAAATAATTATTTATCGCATTCTTTTAATCGCGATGTTCGGAAAGATGCATATTGAACGCATGCAAAATTATTAGCAAAATTCAATAATATCAAATAACTCCTTGTAAAATTTCAATCTATCTCGTATTATATTGAACCGCTGTATTATCTAATATGTATAAACCTACCGAAAATTTAACGCTTCACAAACTGTCACTTGCACATTCCACTGAACCACCTATTCTGCACGCGAAATCCGTTTCCGCGGCTTCCTCCAATTTGTTCGCGTCAGGGAAATTATGGGATTCTGAATTCTCGGTGCCTCTATTTAATTTGAACTAGGACGTCTTAAAGCGGATCCCTCAAAGTCGTTCAAGCACCTTGAATTAGACATATAAATCATTTCTCCACGTGTAAAGCAATTACCGCTCAACTTTTAACGATTTAAAAAATTTTTTCAAATATTCTTCATACAATCGCATATATACATAAAATTATTAAAAATTAATGATTAAATTAATCAGGTCTTTAAAAATTCTGTAAGGTAAAAATATATTTTATGATAACAATTGTCGATTGATATACTGATTTAATTTTTCATTAATTTTATTATTCAATAAGTGAGGTAGCTATATTATCTTGTATTCTAATATATTCCTCCTTTTTTGTTACAGAATTGCCAGCTGAGGAAGGTGAGTATCGCCTTCATGTTATGACGTAAAAAATAGGTAAGGTCTTGCGACAAATTGACATGCATAATAATAATTACTCTCGATGGAACAAGACAAGCTCGTAAACCGGAAATACGAAAAAGTTTTTCTTTTTCGCTTTTATACTAAGCCATCGATTTGTGCAGAGTCTTGAGAATCTTAAATATATACGCGAGTTTTCAAAATTTTCGCCTCATCTTGACGAATGTCTATCTCTTTTTCGTTGGAGGTTGAAAAGACTTAGGCGCCATGTGAACGCGTCTGTTATCAATATAGGCCAGCCCGGAGCTCCGTAAGCTTCAAGAATTAGCATTACACGTGCTATATTGAATCCACTTATGAATGCATAAGTGAGAGGCGCATATCAGTCTGCTGCTCAAGGAAGTCAGGATCGTTTCCTCGCAGCTTCACGGAAATTCTTTAAGATTAAAAACTTTACAATATCAGTCAATCGAAACAGGAAAATAACAAATAAATTTATGGAAAAGAAATATGTTTTTTTAATATATTAAAAATAAAAGAGAAAGAGAAAAAATTAATATATAAAAAATTAATGTTTAAATTTTTTTATAATATTTAATATTTTTTTATTCAAAATCCTATGAGTTTACATCTTTTCATCATTTTTTGATTATATTTTAATTCCTTCAATAAATGTATTTTTCTCACTCCATTTATCTTCTATATAATCGAGAATCTGTAATTAATAAATATATTCTGACATACAAGAGATAAATATATCCTAAGTAAGTTAGTTTATTATATATAATTCTACTCTGAGAAATAATTTTTTTTTTATTTACCGAAGAAATCAAACAAAGATTACGGTAAAGATTAATTCTCTAAAATCTCGTAAATATAAAAAAAATATATAATAATAGAAATTTTGTTCGCATTCCCCATAATGGGGATAAAAGACTGTTCGAATGCAGATGCCACTTGCCCCATTTACCCGAATCAAAAGACACCATGCATAGTGTCGCCTTCGACTCGGCCGTAATTGCATCGGCATTGCACTCGACCCGCGCGGAGGCTCAGGCTATCTTTCCGTCGACCTTCGGCAATGGATCGACCCGTTGTAGTTATGGCTCTCGCTATTCGCTCGGTATTATTATTGTTCGCGATATAGAGTTATCATGTATATAGAGCAAAAAAATTGAACGATCTTTCACGATACAAATTACTCATGTATATTAGACATATAGAGATGTATATATGTCTAATCACTATCGTATCTCTTCTCGATAAAAGAAAAATTCTTTGAATTTAAATCCGATTTACAATTTTTTGTTTCATTAATTATACATAGCCTTTGTCTTTCGCAAAGCAGTGATTAGGAAGGACTGCTCACGAATGTTTCACGCTGTGAAAATGAATAACAGAACAGTGTCAATATATAATGCACATCATCAAAATTTTCTTTAATAAAGTACTAGTTTTATTATAGTAAAGTTATGTGTCTCTTTCATTTTAATTTTTACATTTCAAAAACGGAGTTTTTTTGTTAATCAGCTTGTATCTCAGTTTACTTTCCGGGGCATATATTTGCTTAAAATAAACAGTCTATTTATAGACTTGTTTATCTTCTCTCTCTCTCTCTCTCTTTCTCTCTCTCTATCTTTCTTTCTTTCTCTTTTTCTCTCTTTCTCAACTTATATTTACTTTACTCTTATATATATATATATATATATAAAT